CTCTCACTTCCGCACTTCTCGTACTTATAGTACGCACCGTACGTAGTACGCGTAGTGTGCGTACTTCAAGCGTGCAGACCCTGAATTGGGACACAGCCATGGACTGGTCAGACACAGTGGCAGCTGAGCAGGTCTCCATGTGAGCTGGTGATGACTCTGACTCTGTGATTGGTCAGTCTCTGCAGGTCAGAGGTCAGCCGCAGCAAACGAGGACTCGGCTCAAAGATGACCCGGCTTGGGTCGCTCGGGTCAGGTCTGTAGTACGAGTCCAGAACCTCCAGAGTGTCGAGGCGCCGCAGTCGCTGCAGCTGCAGGAAATCATCGTCAGACACGTGCTGGTGCCTGAAACAGCGACGGCAGGTTACCATGGAAATCATCATGACACTTACAACAGGGACACTGCGTGTGACGTGTCGGGCTCACCTTATCCGCAGCGTTTTCAGATGAGGGAACAGCTGTGGGAGGAGTCTGATGAGGTCGGACGACGAGCTCCAGGGCTCCAGGTGAAGATGCTCAAGCTGCGGTGCCCGGGCGGAGACCACCTGCAGGTCGTTGGGCTGCAGGTCCACACACAGCGTCAGGCTGAGCAGCGAGGTGGGCAGGAAGTCAGCGTACGATGCCAGGGGGTGGCCTCCTATTGAATATGCAGACATAAGAGAGATGCTCAGATAGACAAATACGAAGGAGGGAAACAGACACTCACCGTGGATGCTGAGGTTGGTTAGGTGTGGCAGTGACGTCAGCCACGTCTGCAGGTGACAGGTGGGTCCAGGTACGGAGTACAGGTGGAACACTGACAGGCTACGGAGGCGGGACAAAGGCTGCAGCGTTTCCTGTGTCACCATGGCGTCATAATTCAGCAGCTGCAAGTCCAGCAGCTGCAATGCGGCGTCACCTGCAGGACGATAAAACACACCTGAGCCATGTGACGTCTGATCTCGCCTGTCTCTGTTCCATCTCAGAGGTGAGGCAGGTCAGCAGGAAGGCAGAACACACCAGTGCCTAACCATCAAGATCAATAATCTAACTATTACATATCTCAGCGAGCGACTGATACAGGTGTGCCAACCTGTGTGGTGGGCGGGGCTGAAGAAGTCGTGTGGAAGTGTCCTGTAGGTGATCATGGTCCAGGACAGGTGTGTGAGCTCGCTCAGGTGAGCGAGGACACCGCTGAGGGACGGGACCCTTAGGCTGCCGTCGTGGTGCAGCAGTAGCGAGGTCAGACACGTCAACTGACCAACGGTGGCCAACAGGTGAGAGGCAGAACAGGTGAGCTGCACGTTACAGAGGCTGAGCTGCGTCAGCTGCTGACTCAGAGGAAACAGGAAGTCCAGGTTCCTCAGCGGTATGGAACAGGAAGTGACGGACAGTCGCTGAAGCTGGCGGAACAGTCTGAGATCATCCACGCCCCCTTCTCTCCAGTCGTCCAGTCGCAGGCCGCAGAGCGACGGTAGCCAGGCGTGCAGCTGCTTCAGGTGCTTCCTCTTACCTGAGCGCAGCAGCACGTTGCCCACGTGCCTCTGAGCCAGGCTACGCCAGAACGAGCGGTTATAGCGCGAGAGGTTCTGCAGCACCACGCTGAAGCCCCTCCACAGGGGGCGGGACTTATCCAGCAGGTGTCTGAAGTATGAGCAGGTGCAGCGCATGCTCAGTTTGTCCCTCCAGGACAAAAAGCTGAACACCTTCAGCCACAACTCGGCCGGAAGCTGCAGCGCCATCTCTCACCTCCGATAATCGATCACGGAGCTACCTGAGCAGCGGCCCTGACGTCATCACAGCCGCAACACCGCCTTTTTGATTAGCTGAGATCGTGTCTATGGTCAGCGCCAACAGTTCTTCTTACTCTGCCTGCGCCTGCGTGATATTATTGATTATCGCCAGATTTTAAAAGATCTCCACAGAAAAAGAGAGTCAGTAAAAGTACGGCAGTCCCAGTGTTAGCGCAGGCGCAGTGACACTTACTTACAACATCCGGTCCCAGTGCTGACGTCACGGCCAGTAAGTTTCAGACGTTATTGCGCATGTCAGAGAATTGAAAAGGCTGCATCGTCAGTCACGTGTAAGAGCAGAAAATCAGTTTAAAGTCAGAACATTGCTTCTCGCGCACAGGTGAGTTTACCTGAGGAGTGCCGAGACCGGAAACCAGACACCCGCGGTGAAAGAAGACGACTGGAAGAAAAACCGCCGAAGAAGAAGCTGAGCGGGTGGAGCTGGTCGTAGCTGATCGATCAGATGGAAGGTGGGTGATTGATAATCGATCCACACGTGACTAACCAGCTGATCAAAAGGTATCAGCTGACTGGCGGAAGCCTTTCCGTTATTAATCAGCGATCACGCGTTCAGGGTCAGAGCTTAGAGACCAAAACGACAACAAAGAGTGACGTCATATGTATACACCTGAGGTCCCTGTAGGATTTCACCTTTGCCTGGAGTCACGTGGACCATAAAGGTGGGCAGCTTGATATCGATTATTGACCAGCAGGAATCATTATCGCTTCAGACCGGCAGCGTTATCATGGTGAAATACCCCCTGACCCGGCTAAAGCCAGGTAAACCCTGAGTTAGCTGGATGAAGTGACCTCTGGCTGCAGTGGATGAGGTCAGTGAAGCCAGACAAGGCAAGAAATCCTGGATTTGTTGGACCTGCTTCATGGTGGGTTAGGGTTAGTTACGGTTGACCTTTGACAGCTGAATGATGCAATGAGGTGACTTCCTGAAGGCTGCACATGTTAAAGTAGCATCATGTCTTTGATTGGTCAGTGACGAGCAGCCACTCATATTTGTTTGTTTTTAATTTGCTTTACTTCATTTTATTAAAATTTTTGACATTTGTATGTTTTTTGTTTGTTTTTTTTAAATGACTTTTTTTTTTTTTTACAAAAAGTTTAGAAATGTTGTCACGTTCTGAGCTGTGAGATCACAGGAAGTGACAGAGGCCGCTGTGAGGCGGCGAGCTGCACGTTGAGAACCGAGGTTTACGCAGGTTTTATGGATTGTCTTGTGTCGCCTGCACACTCTGTCACTAAAACCATCAACAACAAAATCACGTGACTCTGTTTTCAGGTGACATCTCAGTGACGTCAGCAAACAGGAAGTCTGCTGCGATCACAGGAAGTGCGAGAAAGATCAAAGACAACGCTGCCGACTGGCACAACATGATGCTGCGGTGGGACAGGTTGAATGAGGATGGCTTCATGGCGGTGGAAAGCATCATCAACATGAGGCGGTCAGTTTACTGATGATTTCAGGAATGCCAGGTGTTGATCGATCATGTGATTGATCGATCTGAAATCTGTTTTCAGTGCTCAGAGCGATCAGCTGCTGCTCAACAACTCTTCATCGCCTCCACCCTCTTCCTCATCACAGCACGTGGGCGGAGCCTCCGAGCTGCAGGACAAATGTCTCAAACTGCAGGAAATCGTTGACAAAATGGTGAAGCTTCAAAAAACTTTATTTACACTTAGTTTCAGAGACAAAAACAAAACACTGGTTCAGAATCCAATCAATAATCACACACACACACACACACACACATACACACACACACACACACACACACACACACACACACACACACACACACACAGCAGCTCCATCAGTGTTCAACAATCTGAGTGCAGAGAGTAAAAGCTCACACAGACCTTTCAAAAGAAAGTGAGAACAGCTTTTATTGACCACTGAACAAAAGCTGATCAGTATTGATCTTGACTGAGCATGTGACACAGATTAAGGCTCCTCCTCTTTGGGCTGATGCGCACAACTGCTTTACGAAGTTAAACTGAATCTCAGTTTGTTGATTTAAAGTGATGCCATCATCAGGTTCACCTTTTCCCATCTTTCTCTGAGTGAGCTGGATCAGTTAAACCTGAACTCCCAGATAGAGCTAATCAAGCAAGATAATAATCAATAACAGGAATCAGGAAGGAGGAAGGAGGCTATCAGTGTTCTGCTGGAGCCTCTGAGCATGCTCATATGACAAGCATTTTACACGTATCATGTGACCGATGAAGGAGCTTTGCTCTGATAGGCTGATCAGGTTTGATTCTGTTCATGAGGACGCGGCGTTTTCAGTGGGAGAAACATTTCGTCACTCTTCCAAGTGACAGAATCAACTTTTTGGGATTCGCTTACCTGGCTCATCGAGCATGCGTCAAGACCTCTAACACTGTGTGACATCATGTTTTCTGTCAGGCTGCTGTGGTGACGAAGATGGCTCGTCTGATGACATCACAGCGTGGAGTAGAGGATCTGGAGGCGTTTCAGTTTGGAGCCGAAGGAAGAAAAACTCCTCTGTTTCACAGCTGGAGCACCAGCGAGTTTGGTGAGCAGCGTGGCTGATGGAAACCGTGTAGCAGCTAAGACTGGTCAGATGAAGCTTAATCTTAATTTTACGTTTCACTTTAAATCCGATGATTCAGCCACAGTTTACTGATGGAGCTGTGAGATTAGTTGCCCATAGCAACAGCCTCCAGGCAGATCCGCCCTCTACTCAGATTTTATTCAATTGTTTCTGCTGCGGTTTCTGCTAACACTAACAAATTCCATTAATTCTGCCATTATAGGATAAAAATGCTTAAATTGTGTCAACAATTATAATCTGATCTCATATCAACTTCACGATCAACGATGGCTGTCTGACAGTCATTGAGTAAAACACCAAAGTTTCCAACGATAAAAGACAAATGTGGCTCAGCTTTCACTCAGCTGCCCGCACGCTGAGCAGAGAAGGTTGAAGTCAGAGATGCAGAAGCTGTAAACGATCCAAATAGAGCCACGCGGGATGAGCTGGAACCGGATTCGGTCTGAATCTGTGATCCGAATCCATTTTGGATCTGTTCCGGAGCCTGCGATTCCTTGAAGCAGATCCAAACATGTCGAGGCTCAGACTCGGAACCTTTAAAATGTGGTTAGATGACATTCAGGGACTGAAATTACCAGGGCTTTAATAGTTTTGCAATTTTCATTAGTTTTTATTTTGATTTAGTTTTGACTTCAGATTTTCAATTTTATATCAGTTTTAATTAGTTTTTACCAATTGTTTGCTAGTTTAGTTTAGTTTTTATTTTTTTGAAAATCCTTAGTTTCAGTTTAGTTTTGATTAGTTTCAGTTATAGTTTTAGTTGTGTTTGCAATAATTAAGTGTAACAAAATCCCAGTTGCATCATATCAGTCATGCTCTTCTGCTTATCCTTGGGTATGTTGCTATTCCAGCTACCATACCCTGCACAGGTCGCCTGTCTGTCGCAGGGCTAACACGCAGAGACAGACAACTCACATTCCCACTTATGGGTTCTTTAAATAAATAAATAAATAAAAAATAAATAAATAAATAAATAAAGGCAGATGAACAACCACTGATACCAGGCAACTATAAAATGTATATCTTGGCCCCAATGAGACTATTAACTCTTGCACCACCGGGTGTTCGTAATTTTGGTTCAAAGTGAATTGATAAACTTTTTGAAGGCAATTGACTCACAGTTATGTAGATATCCCCATCCTGTTGTCTCGGGATGCATCACGTTGCCTTGCCTGGGGTTAGCTTCTGTTTTCTGGGGATGAGGGTTGAGTGTGCTCCCTTACCTTCTCAAGGTAAGCTAGGTTAGCCTTCTTGTGTGAGCTTTTCAAGAGCACTTTAAGGTTTGTGGGATTTTTTCCCTTTAGAAATGTCCCTCATAATTTGTCTCTTTCCACTACAAGACACTTGCTTTATCCAAAACACAGTCATACTCAAAGTAATCCCAAATTGGACTCTGGCGCTTTCTCCCGACTTTTTCCTGACATGATTCTGTGCGTGGACGGAGCAACACAGACGACTCGACTAACGTACTGCCACCTGCTGGCATAATGAGACACGGTAACCATGACACGTATGACACGCACACATCAATGAAAACTAAACACATTTTTGCTATAAATTCAGTTAAAAACAAAAAAACGAAAACTAACTAAGATTATTTCCGTTAACAAAAATGGTTTTTCACTTCTAGTTTTCGTTATTTCGTTAGTTTTCGTTAACGATAATAACTTTGCCGATTACAATCAGACTGTCTGCGGCAGCCTTGAAACGTCACGGTCTCAGTTTAAGAGTCTAAAAGTCATCTGAGCTCATCTTCACTCAGATATTCTCCAGCGGTGACTATGAAAAATGATCGATCGGTGATTAGAGTGTAACACAGTAAACGTTTGCAATGTAGGAAACTGACAGCGTCACTGTCCACAGAGTCACGGAGATGATAGATCTGTGATGTCATCACTGTCTCTGTCCTGATACATTGATTACTGATTGACTGTCAGAGCTTCGTGCTAAACACAAAAATAACAAACTAACATAAATGTGAGACTTCAGCGTTTGTAAAGACTTCTGCAGATTGTCTCCTCCGAGCTCCAACTTCATGAATCTGAGGTCAGTCAGCTGATTCAGGTGCAGCAGGAGGGGAGGAGTCAGGCAAAAAACACCTGCCGGCAAACAGTTAGGTTCAGTGTTACCATGGTTACTGTCTCATAGTCGACGTTAACTCTTTCTCCCTCATCTCGAGGTTAAAAGACTCAGTTGTAACTGAACCTGCTTCCTGTAACGTGCCCCTGAGTGAGGCAGCACACTACCTGTCCTGTCGTGGAGCTGCATGCTGTGATCCCTTTGGGTGATTGTTTAATTTGTGTTTCAGGTGAAATCTCTCAGGTGCTGCTCGACTCGTTCCGTCAGGAGCTCCTCTTAAAGCAGACAATCCTACAGGAAGTGGCTCACACGGTGACCTCTGACCTCTGCATGGTCTTTCTGTCCTGCTGGCTCCATCAGCCGTTCATTCCCACGCAGAGCAGACTCAGGCTGGAGGCGTTGCTGCTGGAGACTGGGCACCGCCCACTGTGAGACCATCAGCCCTGTTGGAGATGAAGCACATGAAAGAGTCGCAACAGAGGAACGCCAGACTGATGAGTGACTCTATTGATCATCCATTAAACCTGATGCAGGTGTGACCCTGGCTCCACCTCAATGAAGGAGACTCACTCAGCCCCTTTTTTTGTTTGAGATCACAGGCAATAAACTGATCAACACGTGACCTGTCATCAGCACAGCGGAGCTCACCTGTCGCCTCACCTGTACTTGTGTGGCTTAATTCTGATGACATCATTAATATTAAACATCTCCACAAAGAACTTACCCGCTCAAGGGTTTGGTTGCCGTGGCGATGTTATGTTTGAAGCGTTTTTGTTTTTTCTTGTTACATCACGGATTGATGGCAAGTTTGTTCAAACCGGAAGCGACACACCTGGTCAGACTCTGCATGAGCCACCTATAGCGATGGCGTCTGGGTGCTGAAGCCCACAGCCCGCCCTTTATGGATGTGATGTGTTTATGTGCCTGAAATAAAGACGGAGGTCTTTGTACACATGAAAAGTGTACAATAAAGTTGTTTCAAATCTGCTGTGTGTGTTTTAAATTTTCAGTGGAAGCACAAGGTGGAGATCCCTGGTTAGAGGGTTGACAGGTGTGTGCGTGAGAACACAGACGCTTTGAGGTGGGTGGAGTTCAGCTTAGTTTATTGGGAGGAACAGGAAACACTCGAACAGGACAACGTTTTTTCCCTCTGTTCTCGTGTCGGTTCTCCGAATGTTCTCATCCCGTTTGGAGAACGTGTTGTGTGAATTTTATAAAAAGTAATAAAATAGTGCAACTTTTTAAACTTTATCTACATATGAACATCCAACGGATCACTTCACGGTCAACGAGTCCAGACACAAAGTTTACACATTCACAGCCAATCAGGAGTCCAGGAAACCAGGGAGGCTGCTGATGACATCATCACAGGTGGCACTAAACGAGCCAATCAGATGCACTGTACAGAGCCCGGAGTCTGCAGAACACGCTACTGCACCTGGATGAAGGTGAAACCACCTGTCGCCATGACGCCATCCCTCTGGTTTCTGAAGTCATGGCGAACATCATCAACAGGAGCTTCAGTCTGAACCAGAAATGACCGGACCTAGGTTTCCAGGTACGGTCTGGGGTCAGGTTAACGGAGTTGTTCGTCCTGTTGTCCTCAGCAGGGCGGAGTCAGAGCAGGCGCCCCCTGCAGGTGGCAGTGTTTACTACAGCTGTAAAGTCCAGCAGAAACCTGAGGGGGGCGCCGAAGGTGCAGGATGGTGTCAGGTACGTCTGTCTGCAGCACTGCCTCACTCCACCTTACAAGTCAGCGTGGTACAGACCAGGTGCTGGTTCCGGTCCAGGTGTTTACTGGGGGGCTTTGGCTCCGTCGGATGCCTCAATGCCCAGCAGGGCCTGGACCGCCTCCAGCGGCACGCCCTCCGGGGTCTGAATGTGCATGGTGGTTCCATCTGGCCCGTTAACGATCACAATCCCGTCTGAGCCCGGTTCTGCCAGCTGCACCGTCAGCCCCTCCGTCTGGATGTAGATCTCCTCGCCCTCCTGCACCTCTTTGGCCTCCGTGGGGCCCAACTCAGGGTGGGAGGGGCTTAGAGTCTGGATCAGGCTGGATTCAGGCTTGATGACAGATCCGGCTGTAGGGGCGGGCTCAGATGACTTTGTGTTCGTGGGGTCACTGGGACCTGAACCCAGAGCTTTCTCCAGCTCCGTCACCCGGGGTCCGATGTCTGTCGAGCTTGACGCCTGATCCTGGTGGACGTCATGGTCCTCACCTGGGGTCACTTCCATAGGGGTGTCAGGGGGCGGGGCCTGTGAGGAGCTGTGAGAAACACATTGCAGTGCAGTGAGACAGGAGCGCTTTCCAGAAGTGACCTCACCTGAACTCAATTTTCTAGAAATGGCCGAGTAAAAATACATTCGCCACATTACGGAAACCCTGACCTCACAGGTAACCTGTGATCACATCGTCACCTCAGGGCGTGGCTACCACGCACATGTACTCAGCAAACAGGAGGTAGAGACAGCTCACCTGGAGGAGTCAGCAGAGACTGTCAACAGTCTGGTTCCCTCTGGAATCACGAGAGGAGCGACAGAGACCGAGCAGGACTTCAGAGGGGTCACAGAGGTCACCGCGGTCCCACCTTGTCGGACGACATGCAGAGAGATTAAGAAAGCACAGATAGATGTTTTATCTGTAATTTAGCTGTAGATTAGGACATTCCAGCCATACCTGTTTTTGGCGTCTCGAGGCCATTGTGATGCACGGGGACGCTGTTCTCCATCTTGAACCTCTTGGATGGCGGCAGCATCTTAGAGTTCTGGGAAGGAGACTGATGCGGATTAGAACCGTACCTCTAATCTTCAGGTAAACCTCAGTGAGAAGCTGTGGTCGACCTCATTGTCAGCTACGACTCTAAAGCTGTGATTGGCTGCTTAGACTGACCGCCCGACCGTGCGGGGACGTAGGCTTATCTTGTTATAACAACTTGGATGCAGGTGTGCTTACCTCCATGTATCGCACGTTCTTATTTGTTGAACTGGAGCCAGGAGACGCTCCAGGAACCACCTTCATCCTGTTCACCTCGTCCAGGATCCCTAGAGACCTGGCCACCTGAAACACAGCACGGTCTGGGTCACCTGTACGCCGCAGGGTCCACTTGTAACAGGCGTTCTGATGTCAGCATGGGCCTCACCTCTATGTTCCTGATTTCCAGGGGCGTGGCTCCACCCTGCGGGCTGCTGATGTAATCCTGGGCGGCCTGCCTCACCTGAGCCTGCAGGGACTCGAACTCACGGTAAATGTCTGGGAAATGAGTTCGACCCGGACCGCCGCGCTCCACCTGGAACAGCCAGGGCACATGATACACTGCAATAGCTGCACATCATTTACAGAGAAAATAAGAGTCAGTGCGATGAGAGAGCAGCTCAGTTTAAACTGTCAGCTGTTTGGAATAACATGCTCCACTGTCTTGTGCTCACATAATTTGCTCTGGCATTAATAAAGTATTCTGATTCTGAGCCCCTGATGATGTCACAGATCCCGGCAGGTGTGGATAAAGGTTTGTCCTTCGTGTGTGCGTACCTTTGCCAGCATTAGCTCCCACAGACTCATCACTTTGGTCAGACGAGGAAGAACGATGTCCATCAGCTCCTCATCCTCGCACTGCTCCACCACCTGTGAGCGACGTGATAGGACACTCAGGTGTTAGCGCATTAAGTGACTACACATAAATCAATATTTTTGAAGACCTTTACTCTGAAAGGAGCTGCTTCCTCCACCTTACCTCCTCTAGACGCTCTCGTCTTCTCTCTACCTGCTGCTCTGCTGTTACCATGGTAACACCCAACTTTGGAGGTCGACCACGACGACCTCTCCTACTCACGAGGCCCACAGTCACCTGCGAAAAATGAGCAATCAGATTCACCTGAGTGCTAACAGAGCAGGATGAGGTTTCTGTGCAAACTACTGTACAGGTGAGCTCACCTGGACAAGTGACAGATGTAGTCAAAGCGCTAATAAGAGTTGAACAAAGGTCTATTTACAGCAAAGCATCCCCGACAGCGCGTGAGGTCGCATATTGTGCCGTTTGTCCCATCACAGACACCGTACACAGAATGATTACTGTGTTTTGCCATTTTGTAGGACGATACTACTTTGTTGCTTTTATTTTGAAGGCAACATTTATCCTTTTTCAATTCAAGTGTGTCTGTGCGTGCATGAATGCAGCTTCACTGTAAATGTGTCAGAGCCCATGTTTCTGAGAAATGTGAGTTTTCTGAGAGATGAAAGTACTTTAGTTTGAATTAGAGCTGGGCGATAGAACGATCACGATATGTGTTGCGAAATAACTTTTTCTCGATAGAAAAATTAAACTATTGTGATAGGCCTCGTCTCTTGTCCTCTTAAAAAAAAGAACAGCCAATCCACATTAAGTAGCGCAGAGCTGAACCAATCACAGCCGCAGTGTCACGTGACTTGTTACGTACAGCACAAGTGCCAAGCCGCACATGTGTATTTGTTTGGGAAGCAGCCAGCCGCCGTGCCGCAATGGAGGAAACGAGTGTGGCGACTAGAGGAAAAAAAATCAACTGAGCGTGACCGAAGAGAAAACAGATGATGGTTCCAATGCCGGAGAGATTGTTGAACGGAAGAGCCAAAGAAGTTCCGTAGTGTGAAGGTATTTCAGCTATTTCAAGTCTGACAAAAAACAGAGTAGCGTGCACTGTAAATTGTGCCGAAAGCAAGTCTGGAAATACAATAAAGCAGTGCATGCTCAATCTCTGACTGGAAGCACTAATTCGTCATTCGGCTTTTGTCAGACTAAAGTAACTGTTAAAACTGTTTGAAAAGCTCAGCTATACAACAAGGAGAGATTGAGAATTTCCTTTTAGTTCTCAGTTTATTTGATATTGACAAAAGTTAG